CCCCACACACACACACACACACACCTAGTATCTTACTGTGTACAATACACTTGTGCACTGCCTATTGCACATTCCTCGTCATGGTGATGTGCACGATAGTAGAACAGCGCCGTCAGGACACGTGATCCGCTGGCAGCTTTTAGGGGGGGCGTGTCTAATGCCGGTGACGCAGCGGGGAGTGTAGGTTCTAGGCCAATCAGATTGCAGATCCGAAGTCCATGGGCGTTGCTTTCTGGCTGAATTAGCTTGCTTCAGCCACAGCATGCCTCAGTGTGAAACGATCTGTCCCTGACAGCGGTAGTCTCCCGTGTCACCTTTTAACTTTTTTCTCTTTTTTACTATATTCCACCAACTTTGGCGAAATTCTGAAATGCACGAAGCGTTGTTTTGAACCCCGAGTTCCTCGTGTGGAATTAGCTTTCCGCTCTGTGCCTTTTGCTTCAGGACGAGTGAACTTCTAGGACAGCAAGGTGGACTGACTTCTTGAATTGCCTTGAACAGTTTAGTGGGCAACTTCCATTCGGAGGGGTGTTGTGTCCATTTCACGGGGGGAAGAGTCGCATGCTTCCCTCCATCCTCGTCGTCGGGTCTCTATGGAGAGTTTGCCCCGGCGGAGGCGCGCACTCTGCTCCCTCTCATCGCCGAGGCCGCCCCGCCGCCACCACTCGTGAATTCTTCAACCTGGATACGACGAGGCGACACACTTAACCTCATTTGAATGCCTTTGCAAGGTGTCTGCTGGTTGCTGTGCTGCCGCCAGGGCTTCAGTTTGCTGGGTAGGGACTATGGGGAGAAAGAGGAGGAAGAGTCTTTTGAGTTGCGCAACAAGGACGACCTGACTCCCAATGGACAGGTAAGGAGAGTACACCTGCACCCCCCCACCCCACCCCATTAACTCCTTTCGCCACTTTATGTCGCTTATGCATTGTAATCTCATACATATGGGCTCCTTTTGCACACTGACACGTTTTCATTGCACAAAACTCACTTTTTAGTCCCACGTTGTGCTCTGAACTGATTTTATACCGCACCAGTGATCAAATAACAGCATTAATTATGGTTTGGACCGCAAGTGTTTTTCTAATTGACCCACATTGTGAAGCACACACCTCCAAGTGTTCACATGTGCCTTGTGGAAATCCTCACTTTGTGATGGGGGGACGCTCAGTGTGTATTTGTGTGTGTGTGTGTGTGTGTGTGTGTGTGTGTGTGTGTGTGTGTGTGTGGGTTTGCAATGAGCTTGGGACTCATTGTGCAATCACACACAAACACACACACTAACACACACTGATGCAAGCGCCAGTGTGTTGAAGGGATCCTTGTGTGTATGGCTTCAAATAAGACTGCAGCCTTGTCCCCTCTGTAATGTTCATCATGTGATCAGGCACAGAGAGATCAGTATTGTGCGTGCCCCCCTCCCCACAATTTCCCTTGTGAGGGGGCATTGTTGGTGCCCTGTGCTGAGGTGGCTTCTTTTCTGTATGTACCACTATATGACCCTTTACTGTACAATATACAGTATAGATGCAAATCCGAGGTTAAACTTGCAGTGTCATGATTTGAGGTATAGTTAGAAGGGAAATAAGTCAGTTTACAGGAACGGGACTGCAATGATTTGGATTATTTTTGCACTTGAAAATGTGTTCCATGCATTCATTGAGATGTCAGTGTACAGATTGAGTACCATAGCGGTGCAAAATGGTGTGGAATTGCACTGCATCATCCCGAGAGCTGTTTCTAACATTTTGACCCTGTCGTGTAGCTGAGTAAGGTCAGCAAATGGAGGAATCTTGGACCTCAGCGTTTGACTGCAATCATTGTCAAATCAAATGGTCGTATTCGAAAGAGCTAATAAGTTCGACACACGTGCCAAGACATATTGAAACAGTTCTGTGTGCTTTTTTTTTTTACCCCCTCCACCTTTCCCCGCAATCTCTAAGTAAGTGTAAAGAATTGCAGGTGTAAGTAGTACCACATGGAGCCATTAATTATTCTTCATATCTGCTTATCTGTCCGCCTTTGACCCCTCGGTGCACTTGTAAAGACCAGTGTGGGATCATAGCAATTTGCATGAAAACGTTAACGGCAGATAAAGCTCCACAGCGTCAACTGAAGCAGTGGCCGCCAGATAAGGGTGACATCTGTTGCTCGTGGGCGCTCGTAAGAGATGACGCGCTGTCTTGGCTGCCCAACTTTATAACGTGCCAAATGCTTGGCCATCCACACGACGCACATCTGCACTTGATACTGAAATTCAGACGGGGTGCCTGATGGCTGCTTTAAAAAAAACAAAAAAAAAACAAACGTTATTTCTGTGGTAGAGTTTCCAGCTCTGCCAGTATTAACATGCAGATGATAAAATAAGATTATCCTATGAGATGAAGCGGGGGATTCAACTGTTACAGAGCAACCATAAAGGGAACACAGTTGCAGCAGCTGTGGTCACCCTCCGATTACATGTCTTTTTTTAAATTTATTTATTTGAAATTCATTTTCCCTCCCACTCCTTCTTTAGGCTTTATTAGATTAGCTCTCACTTGCAGGAATCCTTTCATTCACTCGAATATCAATGCTGGGTACTGATATCAGTGCAAGGTTCTTGTCGACAAAACTTTGGCAGCATCGGGGCGTGAGTTTGCCATCGCCATTGATGTTGTCCTCCGTATCGGTTCGGACCTCTCGTTGATCAGTGATGACCTTCTTCTTGCGGAGGAATCAATACACTTCCTCTAATCCACTTTTCCTGTAGCTCTGACTCACTGTGCTCTACCCTGGATCCTGTATCGGAGTCAATAGTTCACACCGAGCCCTCAATTAAGACCACAGCTGAATCACTCCAAGCCAATTTCATCAGCTGACCTAGTCTTGAAGTAGCACAATTCGTTATGCTCCCCGCCAGCCCCTCCCCTACGAGTACACACATCTTAGCTGATAGTGTTTGTCTTTCCTCGGGGTCAACGGAGGTGGGTGTTGTGGCTTTGGTGGGGGAGGGTAGCTTGGCTGGAAGCTCCGGGCAGGTCCAAAGTGACTCCCAGGCAGAATCCCTCGGGGCGGCGTTCCGCCGCCTGTGCCGAGCGCTATGTTTCCTGCGCACACATTTTCATGCAGCGGCGGGTCGGACCTCCCTGGATGTGTGTATATCGGGCCTTTCAACGCTTAAACACAGCAGGGATGACCGCAGCGAACTTAAGAGTGTCGGTGGCGTCTCCCAATTTCCAACTACCCGAAACCCTCACTGCCATCTCTGGCATTTTGCTCCCTCAGCAAGATGTGTAGGAGCCCTAAGTACCTTTTAAGTCCGAAAATAATGACGCTCGAGAAGTTAAGACCCCTGCTCCTGCATGTTTGCAATGCTCCTTCAAAGATGCCGCTACCCGACAGCTGCCTAAATAGTCGCGCTGAGCTCAACACCCGCAGTGACGGGAGACAGGAAGCTTTTTTTTTTCCCACCGCCGATTGCAAAGTACGACTGCTTTTTCACACTTTCTTACGAGCATAACTCAAAGAGTACTCCGTATAATTTCACCAAACCCGCACGGAGTGGTGTGACACAGCCCAGTAAATCATTACATTGAATGACCGAAATCTGGATAATGGATCTGATGATTCATGGGAGACGGCAAACGTGATCACAGCTTACAGCTCGCATGAATATTTGGCCTTTGGCGGGAGGTTGCGGCGCTGCCTGATTCTCATGTTGTCCATCCAACAACATTTGCTCTCTTGCAATAAATGTTCTAGATTACTTGTCTGTAAGACAGAAAAACTAAATTGTAGCATTATTATTGGATGTCAAAGCATATTTTTCGTCATTTTCCGGGACCAAAAAGATACAGGTGTGCTCCCGAAGTGTAAAATCTCCATTATTGTAACCCGAAGTGTACGTGGCTGTAATTCTGGAAGAAAGAAAAAGCTACAGAGACGAGGAGTCCCTCCAGGGTTCAGACGGGTTCTTAAAGTTCATAAAAATCCATAAAAAGTTGTAAAATTATGTTCTTAATTGTCCTTAATTTTCAAAGAAAGCTTCGAAAATCAATAAAAATCCTTAAAATTTAACCTGTGGTGTTCATTTCATTTGTGTATGTCATTTTCCCCACCCTTCCAATTCATAGTTTTGTCGGAAAATGCGCCTGGCGCCCTTCGCCTCAAACCCCGCTGTCGGGCTGCATGCCTTCCTGGTTCCCGCTCTGCTTTTCCCGCCATCTCCGATCAGCTCCGATGATGATCACGTGATCACTTCGGGACATACAGTATGTCAAATAAAGGGTTAGCTGATTGCCCCTAAAAATAAAGACGTGCCCTTCCTTTGGCAGAAATGATTTGAACACCAGCTCAGTGATATGTGGCTTTCTGTTCATTAAATCCATAGTGAATCCGCTGCCGAATGGAGAAAAAGTCCTTAAAAATTTGTTAAATTAGCCCTCAAAAGTCCTTAAAAGGTCCATAAATAAAAAGCAAGTGGAAGAGTGGGAACCATGCCCTCTCCAGTCCCTCTGCTAACGCACCCAAAAGGGCTTACAGCCGAAAAAATTAATTGGCCTACAAAAGCAGTACCTTTTAAGAATACTGTACATTGCCCCACCCCACCCAAACACCACTAAACTGTGGTTTACCGAAATCCTTTTTTTATTTATTTTTAGCCTTGGCACAATTGTTTCTTAAGGGTCTAAAGATACGATGTACTTTCGCCCCTCACCCCACAAGGGTATTGCAAAAGATACCATTGAAAATGTGCTTCCTGTTGGCGGAAAAAAGTGTCCATATTCGCATTGCTGCTGCCCCCTGTCGTCGGCGCTCGCCCGTCCTGCTCTGCTTTTCTATTTGGTTTCCGTTGCGTCTCCGCCTCACCACCTCCAGGCCACACATCTGTTCTTTGGACCGACACTGGCTGAGCCCAAGCATTTCCTCATGGTTACTCAGCCTCCCAGGAGAACTGGAAAGAGAGAGCGGGAGAGTAGCCTGGGAGGGGAAGGAGGAAAGGGGATGAAGGGGGGGGGGGCATGGAGTGGAAGCCAGCCACGGGACGAAACGCATCACGGCATCTTTCCCTCTCTCCTTCCATGCCCTGCTCTATTCTGGAGTGATTCATCCCCGACCCGTCCAAGGGGGAGCTTTTGCCAAGGCTCTGCATCGCACGCTATCCTTGTTCCTCATCCCACAGCCCATTTAGTACGCTGACTACACCAAGCAGCGTCACGTTCTGTTTGGAATTACACACAATACTGAAAGCCTTTAACCTGAACCTTTTTAGGTTTATTGACGCACGCGTGGGTTTACGTTCAGGAATTACAACTTTTAAACCGTTGTCGTGACTAGCAGTAATTTCTTGTTTTCCGGCACAGCCGTCTGCTTGGCTCAGTTTTTTTTTATGGCTGACATGCGTATGGGCAAAAGAGAATTACAGTACACGACACGTTTTTTTTAACCAGGCGCAACAAGACTCCTTTCTGACGTGTAGCTCAGTTGTTTTTGGCGGCCCGCGTTGACGTTTACAGTACCTCTCCCCCGAGTTAAACATTCATATAATCTCCTCCTTCGAGCTCCCCTTTGCTCCCTCAGCCCGTCTGATTCATAAATATCTCACAACTCCAAACTGGCCTATAAATTGACAGTTCTTGTTTAGTCTTGGTTATTTTTGAGCCACCCGCAAAGAAGCCGTGGAGTGTTTTTGCAGGGCAAAGGGCTATACTTAGACCGCTTTGCCCAGTAGTAAAGTGTGGTGTGTGTGAGCGTGTGTGTATGAGTGGGCCTATTGTTGACCTGGATTGGGTTTCAGGTAAACCAGCAACCTCGGGCTGAGCCGGGCTGGCCACATGAGCCGGCCCAAGGTTGAGGTTTAGGCTGCGGTTCGGTCGTACCAAGTCAGGCCGCAGGGACAAAGAGAGCGGTGCCCTGCCACCAGGGAACGGCTCCAAATTGTGAATAAGCTAGCAGTGATGTCTTGTGGGGTTTTCCAAGGTCATGTTGGGAATGTACAGGACGAAACATTGTGAAAAGAAATGTCTGTTTACCAGAGCGGTCCCGGAATGAAAAATTAGTTTGAGGACATGAGATCGGTATCCAGGTAAAAACTGAGCGAGGGTTTGATGTGAATACTTATTCGGTAAATTGTCCGGCTTGGTTACTCGTCTAATTTTTGCAATGGGAGATGTAAAACGGAGCGTGTTGGTTCAAGACCCCGAGGTATTTTCAGGTGAGCAACCTGTTCAGAGAGTTGACCGATCCCTGATGTAGATCTTTGGGGTTTTGCTGGTTTGGCTACATGCAGCTGTCGCACAAACGATTCCTCTGTTGCCCTCCCAACTCCTGCTGCCCACATTAATGAGGCTGCTTTGCTTTCGCTGCTACCCTTGCAAGTGAAAGCCAAGTGTTCCGGGGTCAGGTTTTTGTAAGACTACTGACTCAAGGCTAATGAAGAATGGGATCGAATAGTTATCGGTGGGCTATTCCTTTCGCTAAACGTTAGCTTAAAGGGGTGGGCACCTACTAGCTACAAATATAGATGTAGCAGTTGTTCAGCGTTAGCCAAAGTAGCGCATATTGATCCTTTCTTCCCTCTCTCCTCTATTGACAGAGTCCATCAGAGGTGATTCACGTTTCTCAGCCGACACGTACAGCAAATGGGACAAATGGGTAAGTTGCAAAAAAAGCGGAAGTCGTCAACCACGCGTGTCCACTTCCCTGCACAGCACACGGTATCTCATGAGGCCTCGTATCAGAACACACGTGTGCATGTGTGTGTGCAAACAGTAAATGCATATTTGCGCGTGTGCCGGTATCGGTTCTCCCTTGTGACCTCCACCCCACTCCCCCATTTATTTTGATTCTAAAGGCTGGCTTGTCCCGTCTGGTCTACTTCAACTATACGCTATTGTAACAGCACATGTGTGACGTGTTTAATTTTAAACTTTTAAACAAATGCCAGTTGCGAGAGCCCACTCGTTTCCCCGCGTATAACACAATGGGACGTCATGTTTCAGCTGGTGGAGCGACACCCAGCCAGAAAGCGCTCGAAACATTGCTGGTTTCGTTCACACATTTAGGTTCTGCTTCGTGTCCTTCCAAGGCCGTATCTGCCATCAGCGTTGCGTTAGACGGTGAATGAGGAAACGGTGATTGAGTACCTTAGTAGGTAGGACAAGCGAGTGCTAGCTTGTGAAGCGGCTAGTGGTTGACGTCCAGATTTTTGAGTAGATGATAAGAAAACTTTACAACCCTATTTTTTTGGGGGGGGGGGGACTGTCCCAGTGGTACAATACAGTCCTGTTCCGACTGATTGTGTAAGAATTGTGACTTTTAACATTTTACGTGTGTTTTGGTTGGTGTTTCCACTGTCAAAATTGTAAAAGGTGGAGAAAGTGTTCCAGTCCTGGGTGTAGGAGAGCTGACATAGACTCCAGCTCACCTGCGACTATAATAAGGCTTTGGGATAAGCATGGATGGATCGGAGTAAAGAGGGCAGGAAAAATCGCTCTTATTGCAGCTCACGCCACAGAAAAATCGTTAAGCTAATATTTTAGAAGGATCCAAGAATCGGGCATTTGCTGACTTTGAAACGGAAAAAAAAAAATGCTCAATTTGGCCTTATGTTGGGATACGACTGTCCTGCTTAAAACAAAACCGTTTCAAAATGATCATTTATGGATGTTGTCAGCAAGTCCAGGGTCAACTTGAATGGGTTGCTAATTGCACCTTTCCCGATAAACGCGTCATAGTTTGAAAAATCCAATTTGATGTGGTCCAAATCGCTTTACTCGGCTTCATATTCATGTTTTTGAAAACATACGGGTGTCTACACTGTAGCGGGAAACGCAACCACGCCACCCTACAGAAAGGTTCTCCTTTTTAGTTGAAAGTGACTTCCTTTCTGAATAAATGCAAAACCGTTTGAAAATGCTCCTATGACCGCAAGCTTGGTGACTCATTGGTGAAGAGTGGGCATCTTCATCGAGACCATTAGTGTCGGGCTGTGATCTTAGACAGTGACGTGACCAAGCTCTATCTCTGGCATCTTGCCCTTATCGTACCCCGCCAGCCACCCCGCCCCTAACCCCCCGTACTCCCAACCACCCACGCTTCCCTCAGCGACAATCTCCACTGTACATCTGAAGACTCGGAAGACGATGACTCACAAAGCTCAACTTGTGGGGACTATCGAGCTCATCAAATGAAAAGGAGGAAGGCAATTTTAGGACGTCGCTTCAGGCTGGAAGGGAGGAAGACTTAACTTTCTGACTGGACTGGTTTATGCGTGTGTGTCTGTGTGTGCGTGCGCATTTGTGTCTGTGTGTCACTCTTAAAATGTGGCGGCGACAGCCTCAGGCACACGTCATAATTAACTTTTTAAAGGACTGCGTCAAAAGGCGGCCCCCACTGTAATCACGCTCGCTGAGAGTTGAGATTAGAGAGCGCCCGCGCTTGATCATTACCTGGCCAATGACGGAACACGGCCACTCCTCGCCTGTGCGGAGCCACGCCAGACTGATAAGTCACCACAAAGGGACGCGTCCGTTATCTGCGGTCTCAAGTCGCATGGAGCACAGCCCGTGTTTACTTTGGAGTCCAAACATGATTTCACGAGGAAGCCTTCGTCGATGTCATTCGCAGTCAAGTCATCGAGTATAGCGAGAACGACGACGCGGACAGCGATGATAATGATAACTTTGTTTATATAGCGCCTTTCAAAACTGTTTGCAAATTCCGTTGACAGACATCATAGTGGACATTTCTGCTTTTGCATTACAACTTATTAGTTTCCATACTGGCTATCGGATCTGTCCTTCAAATATGTCCTTCTACTTTAGACAGCACCTCCCCGATTCACATTATACAAGAGACATTGACTGCTGCAGTCATTGTTCCTTCCGCAGATGCTGGAGCATTAGTCAAAATTAGGTCAAAATAGGTCTGGGTCCATACAGACTGGTATCTGGTCCAAACCTGGACCAGAGTCTTATCTGTCGAAGTATCGAAATTTTCTCCATTACATTGCATCATCAGTTCTGCTGTCCTCATTCTTCCAGGTACTTCTCTTGACTGGAGCAAATTGTAGTCCACAAAGTATGCCAGAGGGGAAGTCGACACTTCTCCTTCGCTCTCAGCGTTTTACCTTCAAAAAGTCTTTTTTATTTATTTATTTATTATGATTACTTTTTTTTTTTTGCATGTCAGCTGCCAAGCAGTCATGACTGAAAGAGGCCAGTGTGTATCTTCTGCGGTGCGTGTGAATGTTTGTGTGCACATTGCCAGCGTGTGATAGAGGGGGGCCCCTGCTAATTGCCCGTCTGAGTGTCTGTCCACCCGTCTGTCAGATATCGAACTGTCCCAAACAGCTTACACATTGGGCACATATAGAATGTTGACATTCGCTTCATTATTTCGTTTGGACTCAAATAAAAGGCTCTATTGCTTTGGAATAGACTCCCCCCCCCGCTGATCTCACCCACCTATGCACACAAACACATGCGCACACACTCTCACTCCTTCTCCTCTCTCTCCTGCAGTCACACACTCAGACTTCCTGTCACACCACCCCTCCCTTCTCAAAACATGACTTTTTTCCCCCTCCCCCTCCTCCTCTCCCCTGCGTTGAGTCCAGTGATTTCTTGGCTGTGGTCTTGGGTAAACAGTGTATTTTTAGCAGGAAGGTCATATAGGCCCAGTCTTAATCACCACATTCCCATTTTTCCCACCAGCTCGACTTCAGCTGCAGGCTGCCCCTCGGACCACTGGGGGGGCTGGAAAGGCACAAGTAGTTTATTGCATAGACGACGTGGAATTATTTAGTGTATTGTATCCCCCCCTCCCCCACACACGTTTTCCTAGCCATTTGTGTTTGTTTGTGAGTTAGCAGAAATACTTACAGCTTTGCGGGTGTTGCAAAATTTTGGAGTATTATAAAGGCGGGCTTATTTACAATAGCGGACTCCAAATATTTTGTCGCAACCCCAAGATAAACGAAAGGTTCCAGGACGAGTTACAGTGGATTTAAAAAGTCTACCCACACCCATTTTTTTTTTTTTGGGGTGGTGACACGGAGAAAGAAAATGAAACCAAGATAAAGAATACCGCCATTTTTTTTTTTCTGAGACACCTGGGGCTTTCAACAACATGTAGGGAATTATGACCAGTTCCAAATAGCAGTCCGTGTAAGCACAAAAGCTTCGGGCTTCCACTAGAAAGCAAAACAATGTCAGCAAACTCTGTCTAGAGCGCCTGGAATTTATTTGCAGTTAATCCGAGTCAATTTAAACGGTGGCGAGTCTGCGTCGACTCCTGTTGTACTAGCGACTGCTTAAAAGAAAACAATAGGGTTTGCACACTTGTGCAACTACAATATTTCAGTCATTCGTTTTACGTTTCTCTCAGTGATTTTTTCAAATTTTATTTTCAATTGCCAGGAAGTAGCATTTCACTGAAGTGGATCCCTCCTTTTAACACCAAAATAACCCACGCGTGAAACCTTAAAACTGTCAAATAATTCCACATCCCCACTTGATGAGGATTTTAACACGAACACATTCTCCTGCACGTTAAAAGCCTCGTTGTTGTAAAACATTGGGGTCATCTAGGCCCGAGAGCAAGGACGCCGTTAATTAGCGTCTCGGTCTTTTTGATTAAATCTCGACTTCAAATCAATGACTCGTCGGTGCGGCGCACAGACATATGCCAATCACCTCATTGTTCACTTGAATTGCAACATGGAGAGGAGCCAGTATTTGCATGCATTGTTTGTTCCGTAAATTCTCCGTTTATGAAATCTATTTAGAAAAAAAAATTTTTTTTGAATTGTGTTTTTGTCAAGAGATTGAGCTTCAATCATAATCCATTTAAACAGCGCGTTTATTCCTGCAGTTTAGTTTTGAGATTTAAACATCACTGACCGTGCCGGCGAAAAGGCCGAATTTTTGCATGACTTCTCAAATGTTGTGAGCACACCGTCACGATTTGGCAATTGCTTGCGGTGTTGTATTGTCGCTTTGCCTCACGTTGTTCCTTCCTCTTTTGGGCTGAAGTGTTACCCTTGTCATCGCCTTCCTCTTTTCATCCCACCCGAAGCTTTGTTGCCGGGTCACTTTTTAGATGGGGCGACGGTGTTTAATTTA